TTTGGGGCGGTCTTTGCGGCAATGGCGAGCTGCTCTTTGAAATGTCAGCAAGTAATTCTTGTTCACACCGTTACGCAAGTTCCGCTCTTGTATACCCTTTGTAATCACTGGGGGAGTCAGAGAAGAGGGATTTGTACTGCAGTCTACTTCGCCTCCGAGGCAGATTTCCTTATTACTTGTCAAACCATTGAAGCTTAATCGGTCTAACCTTCCGAAATTTCAAGAGCACGAATTGAGAACACAATAACGTCAAGTTCTCTTTTCTAAATGTCCAACAGTCCTCGACAGATGCTGCCTGTGACAGAGACCAAAGCACTTTGCTCGTCGCTTCAGCTAGACAGTATAAGTTGGTGTTCCAGTATTTGTAAGCTGGCTCCAGCGGACTTGTATACGTCGAAGATAATTCCGTGTGAGCAGTGAGCACTGGGTACTCGCTTGTAGCCAGGGGCTCTAGGATCCGAACGTCAAGCAACCTTTGTTCATAGATTGTTAAAATCAGGTGGAGACAAGACGGTGTTGAGTGTGGTGTTATGCGTATTGACTGGCATAAGTGTGGCGCTGCACCAGTTTCAAGTACCAAATCCACGAACTTTGCTTCAACCTTACCATGCTCAGACATGAAATGCACATCAGGAGATCATATTCGAGGACAGTTAAAATCACCCATAAGTAGAAAATGTGGGCGACTCATGTTGGTTCGAAGACGGGGCAACCAATCCAAACAACGACTCAGGGGGCTGGGATGGACTGCGCGCACAAGTAGTTTTCCGCGCCTGAGGTGGATGGAGCACCACAGTAGCCAACACAAACTATCGTTACTTCGGTAGGTGCTCACATGTCTCCCACGTAGGGTAGATCGGATTAGATTTGGCGAGCACACAATGACTGACGGAATGCCGAAACCTGGACTGCATACGTGACACACCGTAAATAACGTGTCAAATTGATCCGCGAGGACAAGGTCACGCACCCGCATGAATTAATGAGGCGATGCTGCACGAACCGCAAACTTCTGAAACACATTCCCAGACACAGTTGTATCCTCCTGCACTTTGGACATTTTCATAAAGTGGTCGAATTTTGCTCTTAGCTCCCAATACTTTGTTACCTATATTACGCCATTTGGATTATACCAATCATACTCTTCTACAGGATTTATGTGTCCCATGGACCCAAGAAGTCGGCGCATAAGTGAGCGACCATATTTTGCATTTCTCACGCCTTACATCGACAACCATTGCACTACGTGTATTTCTGCATGCATACACTTGATTTTTATTTTACACACGTTATATATCAACCAACGTATCTTAGTAGAGGCTTGACAGATAACCCATAAATATTTTGAATTCATCATATTCACCCCAACCATCTTACGGGACGTGTCAAGCGCTTGCATTTATCCCTTGATAGATCATTGTTCTTCGTTTATCACTGTACTCTGCCAAACTTATTAAAACTACACCTTGGGAATAAATCTGTACTGGACACACAGATTTGTGAAGCTTTGAGTTTCGAATATGAGTTCCGAGATTGACACGAAACAACGCGTCCAATCGTCGCACACAGGCTTGTATCATGCTGGTTCGCTGTCTGTTCTGAAAGTAGCAGAGCTACCGTCAAGTGGGCTGGGTGTTCGTTTCAGTGTAAAGAAAGGCGAAGAGGTAAGCGCACAGTTCGTCCGTACAATCAAAGGGAAGTAGTGAGACCAACATAATCAACTTATTAGTGGTATTCGAACGCACACTTACGGTCTATCACCCCACTAGTGAATCAATGAAATTCTGTACAATAAGAAGCAGTATCTACAAGGAAATGACGGAACAATGCCTCATGTAGGCCACAGTTACAGTTTACGGGCTAGCGTATGCCGAGTAACTTGAGCGCTGCATTCCGTCGAATTCTGAAATGCGACGACCGCTTGCTGAGTCCCGATGACTGCTATTTGTTGTCCTTTACTCTTTAAGTATGGTCATAATAAAATTTGTTTTAATGGATAAATGCGAAAAATAAATGAAAGCAAACGCAAGTACATTACGGTTTGGTCTGTCATGCACGATCTGTGTGTTTAGGCTATATAACAGAGAGTAAGGACTAGCGTAGGTTTGACCTTGGGACATATGAAAAAGTCGTAGCCCCATTCAACTGATGGCATAAGATGGATTGCTTTGGCTGCGACATGTTTTGTCTGTATCCATACAAAGCAACGTATTCAAACAGAATAGAAAATAATGCATTCTCGCGCATAAGAGATTAGCAACTTTTGCCGCAGATCGCAACTAAGGGTACTCGTTAAGTAAATAGATTTAGGAACCGATCTGCCCTAAGAAAACTTTGGAACAAGTGGAAGTTCATAGATTTCAGCAGACAGTTAGCAGATTGTAGCCCGAATCCAAGGGTAACGGAAGTTCTAGATGTCGCCAGAGGCAACGGAATGCAACTACATAGACCAACAATAACGATAGGGTAGCAAAAATGGTCCCAATGTCACTAGATTGCACCTGCTGGATACAGTTGAGTTTGTTCAAATATTTGACGACTTCAGTCTGTTCTTGAATCTATTATATCCAAATACGTCAATGTAACTGCACTACCGTGTACTTTAAATGATAAAGAAGTTTCCTTTTAAGGTATTCATCCCAGTAGTTCACAAGCTACCTAGCACAGCCTATTCCGGAAAAGCATCAGACGCCCTACTGGGACTCGTCAGTGATGGGCATTCCCTCAGTCTCCTACTTGGGATCAAACGAATGACCACTCGAGGCAGATGCAAATTAGCCAGCAGCTTAAGCCACTGAGCCATGGGGGACGTTGGTTGAACTACATACTTTTCAAGCTAACTGGTATATAGAACGACCTATCTTCCACTGTCACTGACAGCGGCTAAACTGCAAGCTGATGACGTCACGAGTAATATAACATAAATTACCTCTCCTAGTCGCAAATGTTATGGATATGGCGCCTAGATAGAGGAGGTTATCACGATGTAGGCTAGCTGCTGTCAGTGATAGTGGAAGACAGGTAGTGCTATATCCAAGTTAACTTGCACATTAGGTTGCTCAGCCAACGTCCCCCATGGCTCAGTGGATTAAGCTGCTGGCTAGTTGGCATCTGCCTCTAGTGGTCATGGGTTCGATCCCAAGTAGGAGACCGAAGGTATGCGCACCAGTGACGAGCCTCAAGAGGGTGAAACGCGTCTGGTGCGTTTCCGGACTAAGCTATGCTGTGTAGCATGAGAACTACTGGGATGAATCCCTTAAAATTTCACACCTAAAATCCTGCTACTCACGAGCAAGAGACAGAAGTTGTCAAAGCACCGTCGCACCTTTAGTTCACACCATGAGTTTGAAGAAACGACTCCCCGGTTTCGTGCGCTTGCATTCGCTTTCCAATTAACTTTGCAACTCCGAAAATTACCGAGTGTGACTACTAACTATTCACTAAATGTATGCAAAATATCGGTTGCTTTTAAGTGCACATGGTCATATTTATCTTTTCATTTTAAACCGATGTAACCAACCGCCCTATGATTGTTGACGCCTAGCTTGGAGTAATATCTCGCACATCCGCTGGGCACGGATTATGGAATTGACCTACCTATATGCAGATAATCTGCTTGCTTTTGGTTCTCCCCTTAAGGCTATAAAAACGAAATAGAGTGCAAAGAGATGAGACAAGGGTTTTCAAACTACCCTTATGTATTCTGTGACTTAAAATGTTCGCAGGATAATACGCCGTAAAATTGCTTCATCTAAACTGTTGTTATTTCTGCTGTCAGATTGATACATGGAAGTTGCATTACTCAACAGTCAATAGTTAATGGTACATTGCGGATATGAACCTGAAGCATAAAATGTCCCGTGGAATCGTGAACGTGGTTAGAAGAAAAGGAATAAAAATGAAATACTGGAAACCGAAAACAGTCGCTTTGTCTAGTAAAACATTGTTCATCTGAATCATTTGCACAAGGATTGCTGCAATACGAAAATAACCGCGTTTGGTTTACTTATATAAAGTGGATTGCGTTAATGAGGTTTGGTTTTCTTAATGTGCGTATGGTTCATGTGTGCTATGAGCTAGTGTTACATGACCAGCGCGTTGTCCACACGATCTTTAGCTAACCTAAGGGCTGAAATGACAGGTGCTTGTAGGGCATTCCACTTGTGACAAACTAGCAGCGAGGATACATTTTGTCTACCATGCACCTTTTTGTATTGTTTTGCCCATTTCAGTCGGTGTCCTCACAGTCTGTTGTTTTGGGTGTTTTAGCACCTAGCAGCACAGGTGATTAGGGTTGCTTAAGATTTAGTAAACCATGAAAAAATCACTAGGTAAAAGCCGATAGCGTCCACTTAATACTCCAGAACTTCTCCGGCGCTCTTCCTATGGAAAATGAGATAATCCTTTGACATTTCTGGTGACTCAAGGATTGGGAATTTCTAAGAGAGTGCGATTCCCCTTCAGTCACGGCTGCCATGCTTGAATCGCATATTCCATATAAAAGCGTATGAATTGTGTGATCAGCCAACATTTTCCTAGATCAAATCCAGCGACACAGATAAGTTATCGTTTATGTCAATATGTTCCTCAGAATCTGGTTATTTCGATTTAGGAAGCTGAAAAATGCGCTTGTGTTTATTTATACCCGTGTGTGCTATTTACTTTATTTGGCGATTTCCAGTTTATTTACATACTATTTCACCACACAGAAATGTACCTACATTGTTGATTACAACTGCTTTATTTGTTTTGATTTTTTCAACTGCAGTTTGTCCACACATTTCCTTGTAGTTTTACGTCAGATTTATACTGTATAAACCTTAGCCATACTTATCGTGGGAAAGTGGTATTTTCTCCCAATTACTAGCAAATCTGCAGTTGAATTGAGGTAACTGGTCGCTTTGTATTTAATTCAATGCCAAGGATTGCACTGTCCGATATCCCGGCACCAATCAGAAAGGCCGCATACTTTCTGTAGTTGTGTAAAAAGCAGGCAGCAACTAACCAGGAATGCATTTGATTCGAAAGCTCCATACTCCGTCGATACACGTGGTTGTCGAAGGTTGTGAGCCGGCCAGCTCAAATCCACTGTGGCAAGAAACGTTTAGCTGGGATCCATGTCGCACTCGCCCATTTGGCAAAATAATTCCCTGCGCGTCGGGCGTATTACTGACTCCGGCCAATGTATCGAGTCGACTATACGCGTCCGCCGTTATGGGGATCAGTCGCTGCGAAGGAGTGTTTGGGGCATGTAACAAAACCACCTCACCTTGATCCACGGTGAAGAGGTAGCAATGGCGATTACACGATGGCATTGGTTTTGGTAACCAGGAAGTAACATTGTTGCCCACTCCGCAGATGAGCTCGGTCAGTGCTGCAGAGGGAGTCGTGTCAGCAGCACATCTGTTGAGAATGAAGTGGACTGGAATTTTCAAGTATCCCACGAAGAAGATTTATAATCAATGTAACTCTTGTAACGAATGACGCATGTGCATACTCGAGACTATGGTATTGTTTGTCTATCTTCAGATAGCTTCCTGCACTGCGAAGTGTAGAACCTCGTGATAACTGTGCAAATAAGGCGTGCGCATAAGATGTGTAAGCATTGTGAAATAACGTAGTAGCTGTGGTTTAACATAGGTGTTCCAACCATTCAGTGTATGGCTGGACGGCAAACATAACTGATCGTTAGCAATGCAGTTATCATCTGTCAAAATCACACGACGTTACAGGAATGAAACGGTAAACTGCTTGACATGGGCCTGTCTGGCTGAAACTGTGTCGCTTTTAAGGGAAAGCAAACAAACCATTTAGTTAAACCTGAATATCAAACCCGCTCTATATCAATTTTAATGGCGTTTGGTGTGCATAGAACAGCTATAGTGAAGTCATTACGAACAGACTTAACTACACCCGTCCGAGAGCACGTATCGACAGTTTGCTTTGTCCCTTCAAGAAAGTGTCAGTGGTGGACTCTCTCAAAACCTTCAGAATGGATGAATAACGTTAACATACTTCCAGACAGATATGGCAATAAACCAAATAGGATACAGGGATGCACTCAAAGCGCTGATTATCAAAATATGTAACAGGTTGAAAAGCTCGATGATTCCGATAGGGCAGCTTTCACTTAAGTAATCCTCTGCTTACGAAGATTACTGGTTCACTGAGTTTAATCGCTCAATTATTCTTCTCAGCAGCTGTTTTCTTTTACTCAACATCAATAGCTTTTTCGAGGAATGAAGCCCACATACGTTAACAAAATAATTCAGCTACTGTCCTTGTGGTCAAAATGGCCAAGGTTTACTTCAATGTGCGTCGCAATCCAACCACACAATGAATACATCACAATGACCGTTCACTCAGTTAGTAATCCTTATGCCAAGCGTTGCCTTTTGTGACCTGGTGACTAAAGCAGTAGAGGTCCAAAAGAACATCCCAATGGTCCCGGATTAGAGGCCTGTTGTGTCCATTTGATGGGATAAAGCAACGTCGGAAAGCGTGGTGGACTGCGGTGTTTTCGAATGGCGACACTCAATTTCTGTAAGCTTTTGGAAGTTCGGTTTCCAATAGATATATACTTTGTTATAGTACTTAGGTTTTTAAATGGTCATTCACTGACTGAGATGATTCCTCTGGCCATGTGCATAGATCCACGAAATAAACAGTGATACACATTCATGGTTTTTATTATTTTAGGTCATGAGCGAGAGATACATTTGATCAGTCACGCATTACTTAGTGTATCTTTTGAAATTGCTAGCTGCAGTAGGCAAACTAATGCATCAGGAATGTTCGACAAAGACTTTAGGTTTCAGGTAATCTCGATAGTAGATAGCAACATCGCCACCGCAAGATGAACAATCATTGCGAATGACCGACATTTCACTGAGCCACATCCCAACGAACAGTATGTCGTTTGAGCGCCAACGTTCAGCTACTGCTATGATGCGTTAACTATTATTTCAAATCAATGGCGCAGTTCCTAAAGCTTATAATACAATCCTTGAGTGTTGATAGGGCATCTTTGTAATTGTTAGCTATTTACTAGCTATTCTCACTGTGTATGAAATGCACAAATAGTACCCGTCTACATAGGCTTTTTGAAACGGGTATTTGTATGGTTGACTGAGCTGAATTAGGAACAACCGAGTCTAGCTCATCTGTATCTAGGGTCTGTACTGCTTATAGGAATAGTAGTAGCCGTAGTTCTGGTGACACAAGTTCCTTGTTGTCCTGCTACCCTTGGAGTGCTATTTATACCATTTGGTCGTAGCCAAAGTAACCTTCGAAATTTGTGACCCGCTACCGTGGTAGTTTGTGGAGGCAACTAAACGTGTGAAACCAAAAGCTACGACATATTGGATGCTAGAAAGTTCCGTATTGTAAGTTCATTTTTCAATGTCGTGGTGCTTTAATTCTGGCACACTATGAACCAGTACCATTTCTTCATCACATTTTGATTACAGAAGAGTAGTAGGGGGAGTTGAATGGTATAGGTAGAATTTCGTCACATCTAGGCTCACTCAGACAGCCGCCACAAGCCCGGAAAGCACTGTACGCGCGTTTCATCCTTTCGGGAATCATCAGCAGTGCGCATTCCATCGGACCCTTGGTAGGGCTCGAAACCGCAACTCGACTGTTGCCAGTCCGTGGTTGAGACCACTGAGCTACGGGGGACGGCAACGACCATCGTGAATAAGTTACTAGATGTGATATAGCGCCGCTCACTATCCACTGACTTACACGTTACTGCCGTGCAGAGGACAGGGTAGCCCCCTCACCAAGCGACGAGCTTAACAAACTTAAGCCGCCAATTATCTTATGGCATTATAAGCAGTTTGTTCTGTGTACTGATTACAGAAGAGTAGTAGGGGGAGTTGAATGGTATAGGTAGAACTTCGATCTGAGCGGCGCTATATCACATCTAGTAACTTATTCACGATGGTCGTTACCGTCCCCCGTAGCTCATTGCTCTCAACCACGGACTGGCAACAGTCGAGTTGCGGTTTCGAGCCCTACCAAGGGTCCGATGGAATGCGCACTGCTGATGATTCCCGAAAGGATGAAACACGCGTACAGTGCTTTCCGGGCTTGTGGCAGCTGTCTGAGTGAGCCTAGATGTGGCGAAGTTCTACCTATACCATCACATTTTGGCTTGAACGACTCAGGTAGGATTTCCGATTCTGGATTTCTGCCCATAGTTTGTCCAGAAAATTGCGGGCCCTGACGAAAGTGTTTACCAGAATACGGCCTGCTAGAAAAATGTCTTCTATTTCAAGGGAGTTTTTAAATGGTAATCGCAGTAACCGAAGTTCTCTTAAATTCGGGGATGATGGATTTCGCAGAAGACGGTACGTATAGTTGGGAGAACTTTCAGTCCGAGAGCGCAGGTTCTCTCAGACCACCAGGTTTATTCCCCGGCTTGTCTACAGTTCAACGACACGCTGGCGGGTTGTGAGACTTTTGAACACATCACTGTCAATGGGTTTTGGTTGATCAGTAACCGCTTGTTATGCGGTTCCTCGGGAGCCGGGGTTCGTTGTGTTGGAGTGTGGAAGAGACCAAGGCTACAATGCGACTGTTTATCTGTAAAGCTTTTCGGCATACTGTCTTTAGGAGTCAATTGTTTTGCCTAGCTAATAACGGATGTGATCGCATAGTTCGTGCCTAACTGCCTGCCTTGCAGTATTTGTACGACTTGGGAGACGGCTCAACCGGCCTGTTGTCACCGATATTTGTCAACAATGATGTTCATTTTCTCTGGATTGATCTGCAATTTTACTACGGAGTATTTGTCTTTCAATAGGTCTGGGATTGGGACAACGTATTACACTGATCTGTAACTCCAGTTCAGATATTTTCCATCCTAAGACCGCAAGTAGTATCTCTAACTTTGAAGGCGAAACTGCTAATGTTTTACACCTCATCGTAAGCGTTTGAACAACCTTAGTTTTCTAGACTTAAAACACAGAACCACAAACTATATGTCGGTACGCTTGTCTTTCCTTTACGTTTTAACTTCACGTTTGTAGCGTCGTAGGAAGTGGCACAGAACGAACACGTGCGTGTTGTGAGAACCTTAGTTACCCGCTTTTCTGTGATATGATTTAGCATCGGTTGGTAATTCACTAGCTTTCCGACCGACCAACATCTCTGACCCATGTTTCAATGGTCCGTAAGCACTTTCAGGCCAGGCTGGTCACATCGTTTAGGCTGCCTGTTGTGTGCCCTGGTCAACGGGAACTCTCGTTGCGTCACCGGGTTTTGTAGTGGAGCGTCCTCGGAGCATGAGCGGACAAAATTCCTATACAAATTCAGTGGTAAATGTGAGAGGACAAAATAGCCTGTAGCTACGGTGTACATTGGTGCACAGTAACAAATGGCCTTAAAGAATTTCTGTCAATTGGTATCTCAAAGGTACTGATAGAACTCAAGAAAGCCACGTTTCACGTGTTGGTCTTGGCGAATGAACTGTCTAAGAACTCGTTTGTGGTGTACAAGCGAGTCATTGGACTTACTTCGAAAATTTAGATCCCGTTGGATAGAGCTCGGTGGTCTGAATCAATAGAGCTTGCTTTCGGACTTGTGGTAGATACATGAACTGGTAAATCAAAGTTAATACGGTGCACAAAACTATTCTACCGGCAAGTGATGGTTAGACCTTACGAAATCATCACATATTCCCCAGGGTACCTACTAGTCAAGGAAGCGGTAATCATGTATCCTTTAGTATGCTGAAAATCAGTTTATTACCTTCTATTAAACACAACAGAGATGACTGTAATTCAGTCATACAGAAGTACTGAGAGGCCAGTTAAGCAGCTTTCCCTGGGTCTGCATTTTAATGTGATCTTTTCATACAAATTATGTATTTTGCTGTTTAAACTATGAACAAATACTGTTCTATCGTGGCACGTGCATATTTAAGAACAAATAAACAGGTCAAACTTGGTATTGTGCAGGCTTTATGTGCTTGTCTCAATGAAAACCCGAAAGCGTTTGCAGATTTGTAATAAAATGAACGGTTCTTTAACTTGTAGACGCAAATTAATTGTACTCTATCAAAAAGTACCGTTTTATGCATAAAATCGCTGATCATTTCATTGGCATCTTTGAGGGACCGTTCGGTCATCTTAGCCACTTACTCAAATCTGGCTTTACTTCCGTACTTTGTGGTGTGAAACGAAACATTTCCGTTTGTGACTAGTGGTGGTGGCCCGCAGTCACGTTCTGAAGAGGAAACGCAAAACTACTCAATATGTGGCAAATAACAAGTTTCCTTAAAACGTTGTGATCCCTTTTGATTGGTTACATTTGGAAGGCGTTATAGGCAATCGTTTTAGTTTAAATATTTTGCGCCTGTTTGTATGGTTGAGAAGATATATTGCGAGTGCCCACTGCTATGAAAAAGGGGTATTATTGTTTCTATATTTCATAATTATAGTTGGTGTCAATTATGCCGTAAACACAATGCTTGTGGATGGATTGAATTTTCTCAGATAATCTAATAGGAAATATCCATAATCAAAGGAGAGCCATGCAAATATTGGAACTTGCAAACCAACTTGCAAATGTACTGCAGACCGCATCTAATGTCAAAGCTGATTAGCCCGGCTGAGGGCTAGTGAATAAAATTAATTAAACTGATCATCTTGATTTTAGAGGAACAGATAGTTATTGCTATCAAACTTGCCTTTACATCTCGGTTTCTCGCCATCCCATTTTCCGTTCGTTTGGCACTGTCTCTTCGCCGAACCTGTTATCTCATAGCCTTGATTGCAGTGGATGTGCACAACACCATTCACTTCCGTGGAGTATGCGGAGAGTACCCCGTTCTCTGGTGGATCCAGTGTAGGACATGTTACGGCTAAACAATGAGATAAACACATAGATAAGCAGGTAGCAACGACTTGTAGGATACAAAACTTTACAAACGGCTCTGTCTTTTTACAATTTTCGGATGGTGTTGTGAAAATGACTCTTAATTTAGACAAGGAAGCACAGGTTTCATAAAGATTCACCCATCGTTGTTCACAATGTCACACAAGCATTGTGAGACAATGCATGAGAACTGGCCCCTACACGACTTGCTTGACCCACTGATAAAATCCGATGCGTTAAACTATGAACCAGACGATTAGGCAACGTGTGAATCTGTCAGTGGTATGCAATGGTAAGCAAAAGCAATTTTGACAAACTAAATGAAGCTATCCTTAATAAAGTGCTCGCATATTTGCTGAAAAATCGTTAGTTAACCTATAGGTGTAAGTGTACAATAAAGTTAACAATCAGTCCAACGTGGACAAATGCCATCAATCAAAATTATCATGAAGTACAACATTCCATAATAATAATTATAAATCCACTCATATATTATTATACACCCATTGAATACGCGGTCACCGAGCAGCTCAGCAGGAAGTTTGTGTGTGTCCAAATACTTTCAGATTCTCCGTGTATGCAAAAATTTGCGAGATAACTGGCAATAAAACTTGCCCATTAAAATGTCAGTTGAAAAATGCGGCCAAATATTTGTGTTATCATACGAGGAGGTGATGAATTATGGAGCGTTTAATCTTACTAGAGAATGCTAATAAAAATCGACCATATTGCGTCAACATATTAAAAGCTACGAGCAGAACTTAGGGAAATTTGCTCACTACCGACGTCTTTCATAACGCATGCGTGATCCAATGGAGACAGTTCCATTTGAAATTTATGGAAAGATACGATAATAAACTTATCAGTGCCTAATGAGACATTTTTCTTCTTAGAGGAAGGTAATATCTTCTTTCGTTAGCTCATTCCAAGACATGCACTATAGAGGAAATGTTATTAAATGTCTCCTTTGTAGAGTGCTATTTTTAAAGAAAGCATCTGGGTGTTAAATAGTACATTTTACAACCTATTGTGCGGGGCGATAAAATAACAAGAAAGCCAGTATATTTAAAATCACAGTATCATTTTACATGAAGCACACTCGACAGAATGCCATCATCATGTATGTAAGCCCAGCAAAACATGTAATTCCTGTTATTGATACTTAATTTTTTATTTCCGTAGCCATGTTAGGCTTTTGCACTTTAGTGAAACGGGTACCGAAGTTTAAGAAACGGAATAAGCACCGCTTGTTTCTGCACACGTCCTATCAAATTGCTAATAGAATATTAATGTCGATTCTACGGATCTTGCCTACATTAATTCTATCGGTGAACACGGCATATACTCGGTAGTTAAAAGGTTCAACATTTTCAATACCCCTACCTGGAAACTGTAAATGAAAAGCTCGTTGATAACAAACAATAATTGCTCCTTTCAATTTAGAAGTAGGTTTTTTCCTTCTGTTATCCATTATTTACAAAATGAGTCACAGTGTAGTCAAGTTCCTAAAACTTCCGAAACGAGCTTTTTACCAAGGCTTTATCAGCATGCTTCCTGCTAACGCAATAGCCAAGCCTCTACTAACCATAGAACGTGCTTTCCATCATACCAAGGTAGCAGTGGCTAGTCAGAAGTCAACTTGCTAGTTGCGTTTCTTGGCTCAAATTAACAGCGTATGAGGAACTAGATTAACTAAAACAACAGCGTTTGTATTTCGTGCGCGAGACATTGCCACGCATAATTCACACACCTGTCTGCGTAAGTGTTGTAGCATTTAAGCTGCTCAAATGTGGTTTACATCAACCCTTGTAACATATGTTCAATACGAATTTGCAGCCATAAGTTGCCTGACCCAAATTAGGCCAATTGAGAGGAGACCGTATTCCAACTGAATGACTATTGAATCAGCTCACTAGATATACAATGGAACAGAAACATATCAGAGATTATCCGAACATCTACGCTCATGTAAGAAAAGAGAAAGTCTTAACCATGATGTTATGTAATCGGAACTGCTGTTTATCGAAGTTTGCCAAATGTTAGTTACTTATCTGGCATTCCCATGAAAAACGTACAGCGTTTTGACGTTGCATTTAGCATTTTGTTTGTCTAAGGCTTGTTTCAAGTATTCGAGCTCGGTCGAACCACAGCTTATGCATTCGCGAAACAACCCTAATAAATACGCAATTGCAGCTCCATGTTCCGTAACATTCCCTATAACGTTTTTGGATGATCCGGAGAGAATATTAAAACACCCCGGCTATCTGAACTTGAGTGAAAATTATATAATAAAACGAACGTTGCATCATAAAGGATTCCGGTAGTTTTTGCTTAATTGTATTTTGCTTTATATAAACTGGAATTTAGCAGTTTGTTTGGTACTTACATCTTCTGATGTTCTTAACTTTTCTGTTGGGAGAACATGCCATTGCTCTTTCAGTAGAGCCATCCACTATTGATCCGGGTGGTTCAACTTTTGGATTCACAGAATTATATTGTGGCAGTGTTACCAGGGTGCTACCCAGGACATCATGGAAAATCAATTTCGATTCATGTAGCAGAAAACTGAGGTAATTTCCACCGAGTCACTTGAGGCCTCACTGCTGCGTACATCACTGGTAAATAGTAGGTGCATTTAAAAGCACATTTTGCAATTTGTGTTTGAAGTTATCTGCTTGCAATCACTTCTGCTTTGATGTGGCAGCAATTGAACTAGTGTGTAAGGTTAGTACACCTTATCTATTGTTGCCCTCTCTCTAGCCGTTCAAGATGTGAAAATCTGCATAAATTTTAGGTGGCCTCGATGAAAAATTATTTCAAATTTTATCTTTTCCTTATCTTTTAATGCACTACAATTTCCAAGTTGATAAAGATCCTTTGTAGTTTTCAATGTATTGGTGCAGGTTAGGCTATCTAAACTTATCTTCTGGTTGAAGAAGACAGAACCATTTACTGGAGAAAGTAATAGAGATACTGAATCTCATCCGTTACCTGAAGCTTTTGCGGAGTTAACACGTTCCGGATGCTATGATACGCCCTGAGTATCCCCACAATTCTACCGACTTGAGTGCTGTCTCCATCGCATCTGGTCACTTTGTGTGTAGGTTTTCGGTGTAGGCGTTTATCGCACAGATGGCGCTGATGGGTATTTCCCTAAACGAGGTGGTAACTGCAGCGCAAGCTGTTCGAAGTTTCAATGCTGTTTCTGCTTAATTACCTGATGCCAACACTAGACCATTTTGCTAAGGACAGAGATTTATTCAAGTTCATCAAATGATGGTTTCGTTAACAAAAGAAGGTTTCTTGGCAGCAATGCATCGTTCATGCATAAGAGAGGAACTCACGCAAGCAAACTACGTCGCTACCCGACCACTGGCCATTCGCCTGACAAGTTCGAAGACAACCTGTAAAACAGTGAGATGAGGCAAAATCACATGAGGCTTCCGTTGAGTTGCTTTTCAATAAATGTATGTTGCTTTTGTTAAATTTGGACAGTCTGCACCTTGTGACATCTGGTTCCTAAGTCCGGTAGTGGACAACAATCATGCAATACAGATCATAAATCACATTCGTTTTCCTGGACAAGAAGTGCAACTAACTGCAATTGGTTCGTCACTTAAATTATTGTTCCCATTACCCATATGCATCTTAGCAAACAACTTAAAAATTCGCCAACTAAGTACATGCAAACATTCTAAAAGCGGCTAGCAAATACTGTGCGGGAATGAATACGCATACAAAATAATGTTTTAACCCATGGTTAGTATTGTTGCTGCACTCACCTGCATCCGATTCTTTTGGTAGTCCTGTGCCCGCACACTGTGCCATAAATCCCTCCACACACGCGGACAACGCCTCCGCTTTGTATTGCAGATCCGTTTTGTAGACAACATAACCGTGTGGTGGATCCCGGAGTGGAGCACATGATACACCTGTTCGATGGCAACAGACTCTGCATGAAATGAATTCCTAAGTCATTTATGAAAGTTTGGCATCTTTATAAATATTTAACCAGTGGTTACCCTTGGGAAGTTTGTTGCTATAAACTGACTGCTTGTTGACTGAGTCACGGTCATCCGTCAATGCAAGTTTCCCATGTTTATAGTAATCACTTTTCTTTCGTTACAATTATCACAATTTCTGACATGTAGTAAGCAATATCCTTCTCTCACTCTTGGCATTAGTACAACAATGAACTTCATACTGAAGGAAATCACTTGTCAGTTCTGAATTCAATTACCCTGTTTCATACGTAGCCTGCTGCGTAATGTTGTTTGATTGAGGTATACTGGTCGAAAACTAGGGCAAACGAAAGTGAACGCAGCAAACATTTTGAGGAATTGCAGTTAACACGTTTTGCTAAAATCTGTATGCTCTCCTTAGAAGAGAAAATACCTCCATATAATGCAGCATTTGGCCAATTGGCCGGCGTTTCGCATAAAATTCTATCACTTGCTAATGTTTTCTTCAACTCCTCATTGGAAGAAACATATGGGGAATTAGTTCCGAGAAATAAAACATACGCAAAGTCTAAATGCGAGGTCTTTTTAAACGGCTTTAAGAAAAGTGAGCAAATTAGTGATAAAAGTTAAACAATGAGCAGACACTTGGTGTACCCACTCACATGACCAACAAACAATGCGTATTTCTATGAGCACCACAAAGAGTAAAAGACCAGGAGGAGAAAACGACTTAACGCCATCAAATTACAAAGGCTCTTCCCTACATATTACATTTGGAATATAATAGTAAAAATGAAGGGAGAACTACATTCCTAAGTAAAGGGCCTACAGAGAAGCGTGGTTCGTCTCAATCTCAAGCAGTATAGCTTATTTCAGAGTATTGCGGGTGTGCTTTTGAGAAGCCATGTAGACGTTTCCGTAGTCTGTTTCTTCTGTAGTGATTCATCACAAGAATATCCATTCCTACAATTAACTGATTTCAAATCATGAACTAGCAAACAAGCTCCTTTTCTGTGGATCTCATCAGGCTTGCATAGCGCAGCTGATAGGAATTAAAACCGTTGAAACATTAGACAAAGTTAAGGTTCGAAAGTCGGTCATTTAAATGATAAGGTCACGTGGTTGGTTCAGGAAAATTCAAGGACATTCCAGTGGCATGAGCTGCAAATTGGTCACTGTGACATATTGCCAGGGTAGAGAGAGGATCAGGAGTAGTCCTTTTTATAATTTTATTCTCGGGTCTGGAGGTGGATATTGATCGATTCGGCTATTGCTAGTAAATGAAAACGAAACGCTAGTGTGTGGTATACAAGTTCGCAATAAATGAGCTGAATACGTTGGTAGGCATCGATTTGGTGGTTAAAATCAATTCTTTCTGTCATTTGCTTCCTCTTTATGTTGCTAGGTTGCGGGTGATCAGATAACACGAAATGGTTCCATCTCGCGATACCATTCTTTTCATTGTCTTATTTAGATTGAGACAGGGAACTCAGTGCTTTAAATTTCTTAGACCAAGACTCCTGACCAAGACTATTAGAATCCTTGACGGATTCGCAACACTGAATTGCGAGATTGCTGCAAAGAGAATTCGCATTTGTTGTCTATCTGATTGCAACCGCAATGCTCAATACCCACAACAGTTTGCTAGTTGCTACTTCGGAATCCACTGAGGCCTGCCATCCCAACTCTGAAGTAGCTCGCCAAATCCTATTTGGAGGTGGTAAACGGAATTTTGGTGTACATAATGAAAACATACCAATGCCGTATGGCGATCACTGAACAGCTGTTACCGACTCGTTGCATTAAACTCACGAATTTTTGCGATACTCTGTTGGTAGCATGAGGAGGAACCTGGCCAGGGCCCTATGTAGGTCTCTTGAAAACATAAATTAGAATCCCATATTTCCTGACGATCTACAGTAGCATGTATACAACCTGTCTTCCGTATCTTTGAACAGGAAAGTATGAAAGCTTTGTCATTTGGCCTGAATTTGAAGCTTCCCCCAAAGAATTCCGACGGAATACACGGTGAGACACAGTTTAAAAACTTACTGGAGCAACTATCCAAATTGACCCCGACGACTAGAGAACAGCACAACTGGTTCAAGATTAAGCTCGTTGACATTGCATACGATTACACGGTGGCTCCGCTGAACCAAACCTGTTGTATAGTCACATCAAGGCCCTACATGATCTGTAGGCAAAAGAAATGTTAGCGCTAAGACCTAAAGAAGGCACAGAGGTTGTAATTGTGAATAAGCTTGAACACAAAACAAGTTGTGAGAGATTCTGGGAGAGGAATCCAAATTCCAAGAAGACCAAAGCTAAACCACTGTAACATAAAATTGAAAAGTGGTTGACTAACCAATTAAAATTGTTGCTGCAACTTGGAATGATAACAGAAGTGACGTACATCTCTCTAAAGCCAATGGGGACGAGCACCCCTCAAATGTAGGGCTTACGGATGGTTAACAAGGTCAACACAACTTTAAGGCTCGTACTATCCATATGTAACTCGTCATACCACAAGTTGGCTCGTTGGCTGGTTGATGTGTTTTCACCAGTGTGACGAATGATGACAAAGTATAGTGTGAAGGACACATTCGACCTGATTGACTGTGTGTAAAAGAGTAATATTTCTGACAAGGTAATGTGTTCAGTGGACATACAGTCTTTGTTCACTAACATTCTAATTAGTGAAACGATGGATTTCTTATGTGAGTTTATCATGAGTAATAAAGTAGTGTTCTCGAGCTCCGTGGACTATCTTCGGGATTTGCTGATACTATGCCCGGAAAATGTGTATTTCTCATTTGAAGACAAGCCGTACCGACAGGTGGATGGTGTAGCCATGGAAAGTCCGCTTTGCTCGGTATTGGCTGACATCTTCATGACAATGGTTGAATAGAGATGTGAACCGCACATCAACCGAATGTGTTTATAAAGTTGATACGTAGGTGACACACTAGTGATCGCCCCAAGTTGAGACGTTGCTGTTCATCTTCTCAATGTGCTCAGTGACGCACATCCAAATGTCCGTTTTACCTGTGAACTGGGGGATAAAAATTGTGTCCTTTTTTGAATATGTTGTTGACCAGACGAGAAAACGTTTCCATAAAGCGTTCTGTTCCCAGGAAAGCTACATGGACAGGACTGTATGAACAATTTAACAGCTTCATTCCCATTCAATACAAGCGTTGCTTAGTCAAGATGCTATTTGATCGAGCCCGCAGAATATGTACCGACGAGTGTTTTGAATCGGAATCGCCGAGCGTCAGTCAGATGTTACGGGGCGACGGATATTCAGAGCCATTTATTCGATTTCACAGTCAACTGAAGGGAAACATACCGAGGGTACTTACTGTGCCCAAACTGTCTGTTTATCTTTAGTTACCTTTCAAAGGTGATATGGTGACCGCACAATTTGAAAGTCGTTTGCATACAGCCATTCCCCGGACATTCAATGCTGCCCCAGTTGAGAAACCAAAAACTTGCTGATGTCTCCAGTGAAGCGTACTCAGACGATCACCGCCACAATCTATTGTATGTACCAATTCGTTTGTAACTACGGAAATGGTTACATTGACAGAACAGATAGATCCTTGGGTAAACGCATTAGAGAACATATCATAAAATGGATTGCTAAGCTATCTGCACAGCAAGCAACCGAATAAGAAAAGGTATCTAAGATGCTGGCATCATCTATCGCTAGATAACTAATCGAAACAAGCCATCCGGTTGACCCTGAGTCAACGTTTACAGTTATCTGTAGAAATGAAAACCCCAAAGTTTTGAGGTTTGCGGAAGCTTTGGCGCTGAATCGGCATCGCCCTATCTTTTGTATACAGAAACAATTAATATTCTCCCTAAAGCTTCGTTGGGGCTCATGACCTTATTGTGAAACTCGTTGATCAGTTGTTCTTGCGTTTACGTAATTTCCTTTGGAGATAAGTTTCAAACCTTCTATCTTTTCTGTCAAAGGTGACTCATATTTATGTTGTTAGTTTGCAGGTGATCAGATAACATGAAATGATTTCATCTCTCAATATTTTGCTTGTCATTATTTTTTAGATTGATACAGGGAACTCAGCGCTTTAATCTAAATTGTGCCAACACGGCGTTCCTCAACCTTATGTTCCAAATCCACACAGCTATGCTGTCTCTTTGAGAAGTCAAATGCTTCCGAAAATTTGTCGCCACTTACCGCTTCAATTGGTTTTCCGCATCCTGATAGTTACCCACATTTCGCTCTATGCTATTGAACCTTGAGGCTATGGTATGGTACTATGATTCACTAGACTGATCGTCCCTAGTAAATCGGCAGTCAACCGGGATCATGTGACTTCCGATTTAGCAGTATTTCTGTAGATAATATTTGCGGAATTGCCAGTAGTTTTCAAAGATGACCATTAGCTCAGAATGAAGCATCAATTTCATCATACTGGGATGGCAGTCCATGCATATAGATGATATTGGTATCCCTATCAGTTGTTTAGCAATGATCATGCCGAAGGAGAAGACCTCGCAGATGTAGTACAATTACTCACGGTATTGTACGTACGTTTCAGCATAGACGGCGGCTTCAAGCTCGGGAAAAAGGCAACCGATGGTCTACCTATTTTTGTCAAAGTACAAAATTTCTCCCGGTCGTCATTTTCTTTTCGACGTATTTTCTATTGGATGTCCGAGAATATGTGCAGTGCATATCGGGTGTCACATGGCTTACACTACAACAATAAAACCGCATGCGTGTCGTCAGCGGAACTCAGAGTAACTCGAAGAAGTCAAGCTTTTCTGTTTTGCGGTAAAACTTATTACTGCGTATCCCCTCTCAGCGTCATTGAATCGGCCAGAATATTGACTTTACTGCTGACAGGGTTCCACCGATTGCGATCGTCCACCGGCTTCGCTTACACCAAATTGGATTTTTATTCAGGAACAATGTTTCACACGGCGTTTAAGGCTCAATA